GAAATACAAAAGTCCCACTGATTTTAGTAGTAGACCAACTCTATAGTAGAAATCCTAAAATGAGAGAGAAGCTTGTAGCAATATCTGCACACTAATACTTTAACTGTGCAATCTCCCAACTCTTTAAACTGAACATACAATAGCTGACATAGTGTAATGTGTTTTTTTTTCCTCCCAAACACCAGGTATTTTCTGGGATTTCCAAGAGGACCATACTGCTGTCAGGAACCCACAAGGTTGAGGAGGATGAGGAGAGCATACAGGATATGATTGAAATTCACTTTCAGAAGCCTAGCAATGATGGTGGGGAAATTGAGAACATCAAATATGTAGCAACAGGAACCAAACTAGCTTACTTTGAAGAAGATACGGAGAATGTGGCATGAAATATTGTGGCTGGAGCTTCCACTTAGCCCAGTGTGGCAAAGTTGGATGGAAGAATGTTGCACTTTGTCTTTTTAAATATATGTACTTTTTAATCTTCAGAATTTACACTTGCAGAGACGAACTGCCTTTCCTTCCCTTTGCATAATGATGAGACTCAAGGGGTAGGTCTACACAGCATTTAAACACCTGCAGCAGGCTTGGGTCAACTGATTCAAGCTCACGTGACTTGGGCTGCAAGGCTGTAAAACTGCAGTGTAAATGTTCAGTCTCAGGTTGGAGCCCTGTGACTCTGCAGGGTGGGATGGCCCCAATGACTGAAAAGCTTCACTGCAATTTTACAATCCTGCAGCCTGAGGCAGTTGACCCAGCCTAGCCTCAAGTGCTTAACGTCTGTGTAGACATACTTTTATGGTATCAAGCACAGTGATATGAAACTCTTTTGTTCTGGCTTGTAGAGGTTCCTTGTAAAATTCAACAAATTTCACAAAACAAAGATCTGGGTGCAAAAAAGCTCATCTGAAATCTTAGTTTGCCTAACTGTGGGTCTGCCAAATCCCTAATCCCACAGCAACACCTGAAACTTGATGAAAGTTGCTTCTCGCAAATCAGATCTGAGTTTCAGATTGATAATAAACTCCAAAACTTGATAGTTTTTTTCCTAGTTGAGGTTTTTATTAGGAAAGCTTTACAAACTATTCAAAGGTGATTTCAAAATGTATATGATTTTTTTTTAAAGTAGGACTCAAATCTTGATTAGGTATATGAGTGCTATACCACAATGCAAGCAACTGAAAATTCTGTAGTTTCCTAAGATTGCATCAGAATATATACAAAATAACAACAATGAAATGATGCATGGTTTTCCAGTGTGCCAATCAGAAGGGGAGAGTGCAAAATGGCTTGTTTACTAAGCTAAGCTGTGCCTTTAAGAAACAGCTCACAGCTGGTAGCAAATGCCTTGGAGGTAATCTGTACTGCTGTTGGCACCTCTTCCAGGACCTAAGGCAACACCTACTGAACTCTTTAGTGGGCAGGAGGGGAGGGGATAGGGGACCTATGGACCATGGCTTGTCTTGATCTGGCCTGCAAGGCTCAGCTCTCCCCTCCCCTCCTGCAGTGGGGGCACCATTGCTGGAACACAAGCACCAGCTCACTGCTGCTGTGGGGGAGCCCTGAGCCTCATGGACCAGATCAAGACCAGCCATGAACTGGAGGCAGCCAGCAGGCTCTGCCTGCCGCA